GCCTTAGATTTCCCACGATGTACTCAGGTGGCGCGCTATCGCATTTTGGGGATCTCGCTTTCGCCAGGGTCTTCACGTCGATTTGTTTGCAACTCAAGATTTGCGCGCTTGGGACTCATTGGTAGCTTACTCGGGTACTGTGCTCCCGCAAGTCTGGAATCGCGCTCTCGCCTGGGACTTCTTTGGCCGTCATCTTTAGTGTCCCACCCGCCCAACCTGCCCCCATTACAACCCGCCCGCCCGACCCGCCAAGTAGGTTGCCTTCGTTCGTTCGGTTGGAAGCACGCCAGCCCGCTTCAACGGTCCGCCCGCCCGCCCGTCCAGCGAGCCACGGCCTGCCCGCTCAATCCGCCCGTCAGGGTCCGCCCGGCCGACCCGCCTGTTGGGGCCCGCCCGCCCGACCCTCCCTTCTCTAGCAGTCCCCCCGTTTGTTTATCTGGATTCCGCTCTCCCGCCCGCCTGACCTGTGCGGGGTCCACCGGGCCGACCCGCTCGTTAGAGACCGACCTCCGACCCGCCCGTCAATGCCTTCGCGCCCGACCCGCGTGTCTCACCATATCAGGGATCACCCCCGAGATGGCGTGTGAAACAGGAGCCCCCGCCAGGGGGAAGCCTTCATGTCTTCCCATGATTGTTGCTATTGTTGCCAACCCTCCTGTGTTGGGTACTCGTCCCCATCTGCCCTTCATTCCTCCCGCCCCCATCTGCCCTTCATTCCTCCCGCCCCATCTGCCCTTCATTTCTCCCGCCCCCATCTGCCCTTCGCTACCTTATTGCTGCCTCTTCGCCTGTTCCTCGCTTGCCTTCCCTCGCTGCCCCTGGGCGCTGCCGACTTCGCAACCCTCTCCATATTCGTGATTGTGACGTCCAGCGGGCGACGCATTACGCGGATCTAAACGTGACCCCGCCGTCCCTGCGTGTTGCCAATCGGGCATGCGTTGCCCGTTTTGTGGGCCCCAGCGGAGTGGCGCCTTACGTGAAGCCAGACGGGACCTTGCCGTGCTGGGGTGATGCCAATTGCGCACCGGTCGTCATTTTCGCGATGTCTGGGGAGGTGCAGCGGAAGGACGTCTTGCCCCATACCCAAACGAGAACTCGTCTTTCTGGGTGCTACGAATTGTGCAACTGGCGCCGACTTCGTGATCTCGTGGGAGGTCTAGCAAGGCGACGTACTACGCTTACCCAAACTGGACATCAAACGGGACCTCGCTCTCTTTGGGTGCTGCCAACGGCGCAGCTGTCCCGTCTTTCGCAATGTCCTGTGAGGTCTAACGGAGTGGCGTGATGCGCTCGCTCAATCGACAATTTGTTTACCGCGGGTGTTGCTGGGCGTGTTGGCGGCCGTCACGGCCAGACTGTGCCTGATCGTGTCGTCGTCGATGCGGACCTTAATGGGATGGACCGCATTTTGGTGCACCTACACGTCATGTTGATCAATTCACAGACTTGGCTCGTGGTTCGGTGTCTGCGATTAGAGTTGTTGACGTTCTCGCCCCGGGCCGCTGGCTGACTTGGCGTGACTCTGCGGATGCGGATGCTTGGTTCTCGCGCGGGGCAGCGCAGGGAAGGAGACCGAGGAACGGGCCGCTGGTCTCAGCCAGGGGACGTGCCTGCGATATTGATGTACAAGAAAGCATTTCGTCACAATCGTTTCTCCTTCTCCATCGTCTTCCGTGCCTTTCTATGTGTCTCCCTTGTTTTGGTTTCCGCCAGTCATCGCTCTCCCTTGCCCTCTTGGCCTCCATCCTTTCCTTGGTCGTAGACGTCCTCGAGTTTCTCCCCTGCCCGCCTCGTACACGTTTGTTTGTCTCGTTGCTCGATCTCGGTTCCATGTGGTGTGCAAAACGTTGTCTTTTTTCTGGTTTCCACAGAATATAGGCTTCCTTGTCGCGTCGTCACTCGCGGATCCCCTAATGGCCAGCGTTGCTGCGAAATGGTTGCGGACGTCAATGGGTAATTTATTGCGTTCGGCTCCGGATCTCTTGGTTTCTCCTTGCACTGGGCATTCGAGCTCACGGAGAGTGGGAAAGGAGGCCTTCACGCGTAACGTGGCGGGGTCAATCCACGCGCGAATGTCTCAGCAACCGTCCCAATATAAGTAGTTAATTGGAACATGCAGCATGATGGTGGCTTGCGTGAGGATGCTTTCGACGATTGGCGATGGTGGTGCGGTGACTTATCCAACGGCCAGGTGCGGGTGTCCTCCCTCCAGTGCGAGACCTCGACTCCGTCCTCCCCGGGCTCCGGCTGTCTGGGGTGGCACTTCCTCCTCGGGTTCAACCACCTGGGCACCTTCCACCTGACCCTCACCTCCGGCCCTGATAGCGGGGGGCATCCGGAGGGGTTCACCCTGCGCCGGAGGCTCCTCGTTGGGTGAATCTTTTCCGCGGTCCCACAAGCTTGAGTCCTCGGCCTCCATGGGCTCGAGCACGTCTTCTGCGGGGGAGAGGTCACCAACCGGTTCATCCGAGGGCTGAGGGGGGCCCAGCTCGAGCCTCTCCTCTCCTCCATTCCCTGCCCGGGGGAGGTCGCGCTCTCCGCTCCACGCGACGGCGCGGGGGATAGCCCGTCGCCCAGCGAGGCGATCCCAGCTACCGCTCCCGCGGCCGTTCTAGCCCCGCGAGCGGGCTGGCGCCCGGGCGGGCGTGGGGGCTCTGGGGATCCACCCACCACCTTTTCCACCAGGGTGAGAAGAAGGCCCCCTCCCGGGGGCCGCATGGGTACAGGGCCGGCGCCGCGCGCGCGGGCCCCACGCAATGGCGCAGCTCAAAACCGCAATGGCTGCAGAGAGGGGGGGAGGAAGAGAGAGCGCCCGGTGGGGAGGGGGGGAGTCCCTCCGCTTCAGCAAGCATAAACGAGAGCATTTTGTATTGGGGGTATTGAAGACCTGCGGTTAGGGTGTGGTGAGCAGGAGTGTGGCACTACGGCCAGGCTTTCCTGAGCAGGTTTCGGGGTGAAGCCTTCTGACGCAAATACGGCGATTTGGCTCTGTATGGTGTCACGTAAGTCGTCATGTCGTTCAGTGATGTGGAAGTGGTCGGGAGATGCGCGTCGAATGTGACGCTCGTGCGTACTCATTCGTTATGTGTTGCAGCCCGAGGACGACGCGCCTCCGAGCATCAGCCCGGAGACAGGCATGCCTCAGAAGTTGAAGGCGTTCGTCGTGAGCACAGACCCGAAAATGACCGTGGCGCCGTGGCCGCCAGATGTGGCGATTGATGCAGCTGTTGTTGCTTTCGACGCCGATGCTGCCTTTGCGATGCTGTTCATCCGTCTTTCCCCTAGGCCTCACGGCCGATTCCGCCGACCCTGGGACGTGAAGCATGTGTGTGCAAGCGGCGGAAGGGGCGACGGGGGAAAAGGGCAGGGCCAGTTCTGACGCGACGGCGAAGATGACCCATCCCACCACTGCGCCTGGGTCGTGTCCCAGAGGTCTTCGGGACTTCTGGGGGGTCCTTTAAGGGCTCCTTGTTCTTGCACTGGCGACGCGGAGTGCTCGTGTGAATCCAGGAGGTTCCGCTCATCGGCCGCGCGCGCAGCAAGGCTTTGGCTTGTTCGACAACTGCGCGCAGAAAGGATACCGCAAACGGCGTGAGCCAAAATTGCCACAGACGAGGGGGAGGTAAGAGGGGGGGAGCTGGGAGGGAGGAGGGAGAGGGAGGACGGATCAGGCTGAGCAGGCGCAGGATGGGGATGATGGGGGAGATGGAAGGAGGACGAATGACAAGAAGCAGGGTCGAAGACGATCAGCAGCGGCACGGGCGCCGGCGGCAGCGTCAGCGGCGGCGGCGGCGGGAGGACGAGGAGGAGGAGGAGGAGGACGAGGAGGAGGAGGAGGAACAGGAGGAGGAGGAGGAGGAGGAGGAGGAGGAGTGTCGCGCAGTCAGGTGCCGCACTGCTTCAGCAACGAGGAGTGCGACCACATCCTCGACCTCGTCGAGGGCAACTGGATGCCCTCGACCGTGGGCGTCACGGACGTGAACCGCCAGGCACTGCCGGAGAGCGAGCGGGCCCTGCAGAACCTGCCGTCTCAGAACCGGACCTCCTGGTCGTGCCAGCTGCGCTACGCCCAGACGGAGGTGGTTGAGCGGCTGGAGCACCGCCTCGCCAGCGTGGCCGGGCTCCCCGTGTCGCAGCTGGAGCGGCTAAACCTGGTGCGGTACGCCCCTGGCGAGCTGTTCTCGGCGACTGCAACGGATGTGGTTACGCCGGGGTGTTGTTTGCGACCTGCGTCGTTGGGGCTTGGGGGGCGCCACATTGCGCTCGTCGGGCCTCCTCGGGGCGCGGCGGAGAACTCTGTCGGAGTCCTCGCCCGCCCCCCAGGGTGCGGGTTGCAAACCGCACAAACCACACCCTTCGGAGTCGCCGGTGATCAACGAGCACCACGACGGCAAGTTCAGGCCCCTCACGGTCTTCGTCTACCTCAGCGACCTTGCCGAGGACGACGAGGGCGGCGACACGTTCTTCCCCGTGCTCGGCCTAAGCTTCAGGCCGCGCCGCGGCACCGCTGTCATCTGGCCCAACGCGCTGCCGTGCGGCAAGGAGGACAGCAGGATGCTGCACGCAGGCCGGCCGCCGTGCAGGGGCACGAAGTACGGCGTGAACTGCTTCTTCAACGACACGGACTTCCGGGCCGTGCTCAGGGCGGGCCAGGACGTCCTCGAAGAGCAAGAAGTGGCCAACCATGCAGGCATTCGCACGTCCGAGTGGATCGATGGTCGGCACTGTGACACTTTTCCTTTGTACCCCTGGCGGCGCTTCTGACGCCGCCCCGGGAGCGCCCCTCGGCGCGGGGGAAGTGGTGTGGGGGAAGGGGTCAGCGCCGACACAAGGAATCCGCGCGGAGCTCCGATGCTGGTGTTCGTGCTGTCTCTTGCTCTTCGACGTCCCCCTGGACGAAGCCACGCTGGTCGAGGTCTGCGACCTTGCCGACTCCGCCGAGGAAGCGGGCTGCGCTTTCTGCTGCCTCAGTGACCCGAAGGTGGTCGCGAAGCCTGGCCTGCTGACGCAGGAGGAGGTGGAGCACCTCCTGTCGTTGGCGGCCGGTGCCGCCCAGCCAACCCACTGCGGCGCTGGCGGACCCTTCGAGAGCGGCACGCGGTCGATCCGGGTACTGCAGGCCGAGGTCGGAGGAGGGAGATGCGACACCAACACCACCAGGGGGCCCACCTCCATCGAGGAGGTCCACGGTACCTCCCCGAGCTGGAGGCTGGGGGTGTCTCGAGCGAGAGGGGGGGACCACACCACCAGGGAGGCCCCCCTTGCTCCTGGCATATCCTCGCCCTGTTGGTGTTGGTACCGCCTTTCCTTGCTCCCACCGAGGAGACCCCGACGGTGGAGGGCATCGAGCGCAAGCTCGTCGCGCTGTGCGGGCTGGCGTGCGAGCACCTGGCCCGGCTGCGGGTGGTCCGCACGGCCACGCGGCTGGGCCTCTGCAACCGCGGCTCCGGGCACACCTCGGTGTTCAGAGGAGGAAGCGGTGCCCATACCGCTACCCTTCCCTCGTTTTCCCCTTTTTGGGCCTCTTGGGCGGCCCTCGTCGCCACCGCTGGATTCGCTGCGAAATCCTGGTCAGACCGCACCCCGGGAGTGGTCTGGGGAGTAGCGGTATCGGTACCTTTTTGTTTCCCCAGGTATACGTTTGCCTGCAGGAGCGAGACGACGTGTGGTTCCCGAAGCTGGGCGTGCGTTTTGCCATGCGCCGCGGCGACGCCCTGTTCTGGACCAACCATCGGCGCGTCGACGGGCGGCTCTGCGAAGACGTCCGGACGCAGAGGATTCACGTCGCGGCGGGGGGTGGCCTGGAGCGCATTTCGGCCGTCGGGCTCGACGCGTTCTTCCACGACAACCCCGTGCGGGCACAGCAGCGACAGGCGCGCAGCGCCCCGCCCGTCGTTGTCGTCGTCGTCGTCGGCGTCGTCGTCGTCGGCGCAAGGGGTGGCTGCTGCCGCTCCTTCTCCAGGAGCGTAAGCTTATACAGTCGGCCCAGGTTAGTAGGTCGACCCTGCCAAATGAAGGGTACCCCTGTGTCCTGTGTCTCGCGACCCATGCTTCCTACATTCCTGCGGCAATGTGGTCCTGGGAAGGGTCTTGTGTCTTCTCGCGTGTCCTGTCCAATCGAGTCCGACTGGATTCTGCAGCAGATGCGATCGTACAGCCGCCACCGACCCTCGGTACCTGCTCTCCCGATACGTTGCCCCCGCGCCCGCCCACAGGGGCCTCCTCATGCTCTGTTTAAGTCGGGCCTGCCCCTCTACAGGGGGAATACTCAAAAATAGTAAAAACATAGGGGAGGATTCGTTGAGTATTTTTTTGAACATTTTGGGGTATCTTTGACTCATTGACTATGTCAAAATTGTTCGTCCAGAATCCCCCTGTAGGGGGACAGGCCCGGCCTAAAGCCCTGTGCAGGGTGCATCTTTTTCCTGAGCTCGTCGATGAGACCGCTCCACTTCCGAAGAGGCTTCCTGTCAAGAGGGTCCTGGCGGCCAGATTGGGGGAGAGCGGCGCGGGCGGGGGGGATTCCTCGCGTTCCCCTCGCGTCCGTCCCTTTTTCTCTCTGTCTTTCACTCTCTCCCTCTCACTCTCTCCGCTCCCTCTCGCTCTCTCTTGCTCTTTCTCTGTCTCTCCCTCTCTCGTTCTCTCTCAACGTCTCTCCCTCTCTATCTCTCTCCCCCTCTCCCCCTTTTGTCAAACAGCTCCAAAGTCCTGCCTGTCTTTCGTGTGCACGAGCTGCTCGGGATTTTGTACGCGGGCTTCCATGATCCTCCACACCTGGTTGTGGTCAGCGCCACTCTTGCCCCGTCGTTTCTTGTTTTCATTTTCTCTTTCCTTGTTACTGTTTTCCTATCCTTTCCGTAGTTCTTTACCACTTTCTTTCTCTTCGGGCATCTTTGCAGCCGTGCTCCGCGGCCAATCGCGCGCGGGAAGGGGGAGCGGGGCAGCATGGTGCGAAAGCCAAGGAAGCGGCCGCGGCATGGCACGCAACATCCATGCACACCCACCCCACGTCGAGCGTTCACGCACGTTGACGCGGTAATTCTATAATAATACCATGTCGGCATCTGATTATCATAGTTTATCATCTTTTTCTGAAGCTACGATCTGAACTAAGATCGCGAATTTTTCAGATCTTCCAAATAAAGCTAACTTGTACGATCTTGGATCAATATCTGACGACCCTCTGTGAATTTGGTTCTGGTGCTTTGCACCGCTCCTTGCCGTGCGCCCTCTGGCGCGGCGCTGTGCCCTTGCTCAGCTCTATTTTGACGTAATCTTCTTTTCACCCCACGCTGCCGACCGGGCAGGTCCCGCGGCTTGCGTGCACCCTCCGCGCCATCCGCGCTTGGGTGCGCTGATGTTGCACCTCCGCTTCTCATGCCGCCGATAGGGCAGTGCCCGCGGTCTGGCGTGTCACTTCCCTGCCATCCAGGCCCAGATGGCTGATGTGGGTAGGTTTTGTACAGCGATGCCTGGCTGTTGCCTGCGTCGTGCTTTGAT